AGTATGGAGCCATTTAGGGGACATCCCTGCCCACTACTAGCGAGCTGTGCTTCTTGCCTTCCTTAATTCGGCTATCCTGTTCTATATCAGGAGTCAGACCGAAGCCCCGCGTGACTCAGACAGGCCTGTCAGCAGGAAGAGTTGGGCTAGCATCGCTCCTTTGTTCATGGCTGACACTGAGGCCTAAACCCTGGTCTGTGACATGGCAGAGTTCTGCTAAGTTACATGCAGTTGAGGTCAGCGTGACCCCAATTAAAATCCTTCCCCCTGAGCTAGTGCTTCTCACTGACCTTGTGGGTTTCTTGCTGATTGCACCTGGTCCCAGGACTGGTTTCTTCTGTCCTAGCAAGATAAGCAGTGCCAACTCCTTGACAGCCCTGCCTGGCACCATCGTGGCAGGTGTTTGGCAGTAATTCACTAGATACCTTCAAAGCTCCCTAGCTCCCTCTTCCTTCTCACGATTGTATTCAGTAAATACTAGATGTGCTTGGGGGCTTTGTCTTTGCTGCCATCAGCATCACTGACCGGGATCCAAGACTGAGCTTCACTGCAAGTCTTGTTTCATCTATTCTTTAACCTTTGCCAGTGCTGTGGTGGCTCAGAGAAGGCTGAGACCTAGTGCAGGGGTCTCCAGAGATGTCCACTTCCCCTGACCCTTACAGAGCCAGGTATGGTGGTACAAGATTAATTCCAGTACTAGGGAGGCTGAGGCAGAAGGGTCATGAGTTTGAGACCAGCTTGGGCTCCATAGTGAGTTCAAAGCCAGCCTGGACTATGGAGTGAGACCTTTAAAAAAAAAAAAAAAAAAGGAAAAAGAAAAAACAACAATGTGGATAGATAGCATTTGGAATTCTTTCTATATGTTTTAAAGGAATAGAGAGAGACTAATCCTGAACAGAGGCTGATAGAGAAAGGTTGTTTTGGTCTTTGAATTTAACTTGATGTGAGAACAAGGCAGGCCCACCTGGACCCAGCTGTGCCCTGAGAGGCAGTTCCCAAAGCGAGCTGAGAAGCGAGGCGGCCCACTTTTCCCCCTCACTCCCAAACCTTGGTCCTCATTGCTTTCTTCCTCACTTGAGGAAGAAGGGCCCGAGGAATGTGTAGGTTTTCACCTATCTTAAGTTCTCCAGAACCAGAAGGGATTTTGTGTGTCCTGTGGGCAATGAGAACCAGAATATCAACAGCAAGAGGCGACCGAAAAGCTTGAAGATCTGGGAGGACTGGGAAGCTCTTTGAGAAATGTTCTTAGGTCGTATTTCACAAGAAACAGAGTAGGTCTGTAGCTGATGATGGGACAGAATGATGAATTTACGATCTTCAGCCTGTACTTCTGTGCTGACGGTCAGCTGTACACCTGGGATGATGTAATTTCATCAGGAATCATTAGCAGCACTGTCTATCCCCACTGAGACACACACAGGGACTTAACGCACCCACGCAGTCGCGCACGCAGTCACGTACGCAGGCACAAACTCACGCAGGCACTGATGTACGCGTGCGCGCACGTGCACGCACGCACGCACACACACACACACACACACACACACACACACACACACACACACTTTAGAAAGACTTGGGCGGCGATGCCCAAGAAAAGGAATGGGGAGGAGAGCAGGCAGAAAAGCCAGCGAGGTCCCGTTCTTAGGCTACTGAGCAGGCCCATCTCGGGGGACCCTGGGGAAAGTTGTGTAGAAACCACCTTAGAATTGCCCAGAGTCTGTGCAGCTGGAACGTCTGTCCAGCGATTCCTCCTCCTGTCCTGCAGTGCTTGGGCAGTGACCCCAGCGGTTTCCCTTATACATTAACTCCCCCGCGCTTTCTGGGAGGATCTGGAGCAGAGTCTACGGAAGTTGTCAGCTTGCAGGAAGCTGCCTACCGTGGCGCCCCGCCAACTAATCAAGCAGGAGAGGAGCCAGGGCCAGGCCTCGGCAGTGTCTGGACACAGGCACGTACGTGTGTGTACACAAACATACACACACCCCAGAGTCAGTCTTCATGCATATTCGGGCAAAGATAAAATCAGGTGAAGTCTATAAGAATGAGGAAATGTTATTCATATTGTCTAGGTATGCGGATAGGGGTTACGGTGTTGGAAAGCTGTAGCAGTTCAAGAAATAGCTTCAAGTGTTTAGTTTGTGGATGAAAATTCATCATATCGGGGATCTACTTAAAAATTAGCAGAAAAATGGCACTAGAATGCCAAATGTAATTACTGAAATTGGGTAGTAGTTATACGTTGAATCATTATTTCTGCTATTGTATATGATTAAAAACTTCACAACTAAGTTAATGTTAAGGAAAAGGCCTTTGAGTAGCCAGTAGTAGTTTTAAAGTTATATAAAGGAGCCTCCTTTATTTAGATTATGGTTGGTTTTGAGCTAATGGAACAAAACTGTGTGTGTGTGGTGTGGTGGAAATGACAGGGCTCCACTTTAGCAAAACAGTGACATTTGCCTGAGTTACAAGGGACATGGAATCTCTGCCTCGGGTTCTTGGATACCAGTTGTTCCTTCATCTCATTTGTTTTCAAGAGAAGATACAGAATTGTTCACCTTTCTTTCTCCGTGTCTTAACTGTCCGTGAGCTGAGATTTATACAGGAAAAAAAAGATGACCATGTGAGGGCCATTGTGTGCACAAAGGCAAAGACTCCCATGTCTGAGCTCAGGTAGGCATTGTTCTACGCTTGGCCACCCTCTGCCTGGCCCTCAGCCTAGTAGTGGAAACTTAGTGGCTTAGACCTTAAAACTAATGTTCTGCTGTTGCCATATGTAAACCAATTAGACTCCGCACTTGCATACTGGAGAACATTTTCAGAATTTGTCTTTGGGGTCTCAAGGAACCCCAAGGATGCTATTGTGATCCAAGTACTTACAGAATGATATTTGAAAATTGTCTGAGAGCTAAATATGCAATGCACACTACCCTCCCATATAGTTTCTCTCTCTTGCACCATGTGACATGGCTCTACTTAAAAAAAACTATTTATAATCCTGTCTTTGTTGCTCCATGACCCATTTTTCTCATATTCTTTATTTCTCCCGAGACAGCAGAAATCATTTTTATTTTCTTTAGAAATAACTTTACTCTAAAAAAAAAAAAAATTGTGTTCCACTTTTGGATAGAGAAATAAGCTTCTACTCATGATTTTCTGTAGTGTTTTACGTTGAAGTTTTAAAGACCAGAAGATATAGTTTAGTCTCCCAGGAAATCCTACTTAATGCTAGAAAACAGCAGGGAATGTGAAGAGAACAAATCAACTTGCATTTGGATTTCAGCTCAGCTGTTTTGACCAGAAACAACTTATTTTATGCTTATTTATCTTGATTTCCTCATCTGTGAAATGAAGGCAATATTGTCTGTTGAAAGTTTCAGAAGGATTGAATGAGATCATACAGGTGTCCCATTTCTACACCTGAAAGAGTAGTAGTGCCAGTAAACGGGTGTGGTCTTGTCAGGGAGTCCTTGACCCGAGGGATATGCCCTTCCAGAACAAATTCTGTAAATCCAACCCTTCATTTGCTGTTACACATGATGTGTGATGAAAATATGTGGTAAATGCTTAAATTTTTAAAAAAATTAGGTAAAAGGTAGATTGCTGTTAATCTCCTTCAGAGTGCTCTTCCTTGTTTCAGACACACCCACCCCAGCATTCTTACCACTTTGTGAAGCAGTTCTGCAAGTCCTGTTTCGTGAGTGTCTTTAGAGGGCGTGATTAAAAAATATGGTGAGCCCCACTGCCAAGTGCCATTCGCTGGCAAGGCAGCCTCATAAAAACCTGGTGCGTCCCCATCCACCTCATTCCCTGGATCTGGCACTGTGTGACTTCTGGTTCTTTCTCAAAGTCAAAATGACCATGAAGGGTCAATATTTTGAATCCATCCAGGATATCGAGGCAGCGAGGACAGCACAAATAAAGGCCCTCAGGAAAGAAGACTTCTAGAGCTGCTGCAGAAAGTACCAAGGATGGTGGGATAAGTGTGTTGGAAGCGAGGAGGTGGATTTTTAGGGGGATTTGTTGTAATGTGACTTCTACTGTGATAATTTAAAAAATTTAAACCTTCACTGTAGTTTTTTTTAATTACACTTCATACATCATTGCTAGTACGGTGCTCTCCTTGAAATCGGCAGAGCGGATGGAGGATCCTGCCAATGAGATTTGACACCGTGTAGTCTAGAAAGAGAGCAGAATCTAGCATAGCAACTTAGCAGTAGCTGTCTTGTTGCCACTGCTTTGAGAGCCCTCCCTGGATGGTCATAGGTGGCTGTTGGAAATGACATTGTAGCTGTCTATCTTTAGTAGCTTCCTGATCTCGTGACGGACTGCCACCTTGGGAGACACCTGCACTCAGAGTGCATCACACATTTGTAATTTTAGTCTTGATCCCTGCTGAAAGGAACATACTGCATTCATGGGCAGCATTGCTAGAGACCTGTGCCTGATGGGCAGGTCTTCCCTTCACAACATTAGACTGAATGTTTACATCTCTGTACTTGCCGTGTGTTGGGATCATATAGGTGAAGTTTCTGTATTGAGAAAACTCATCAAATGTTGCTTTGAAGGAATCCCAGGACCCTCTGCCGTCTTCTGTTTTTCAGGCCAAGCCATTTTCCCTCTTCCTCTTCTTCCTCTTGTGTGTTGGTTAGGGCCTTTATTCATTGCGTTCACTGTTCTTATCTCAGCTCATAATTATATGTTCATTAGTGTGTGATTATTTGATTAGTGCGGGAGTTGTTTTTGCTGCTTATCAGATATTTCTGGCTCCCCACCTCCTCTGCATGGAGGAGAGTTGTACTTTCTTCCCTGTGGTGAGTTGGGACTGGGCAGTAGTTTTGGCAGTGATTGGTGAATGAAAATGATGCCTGCCTTTGCCAGGCAGAGCCTTTAGCTGCTGAACATGGATCCTCAGTGCTTTCTGAAACTCTGTCTCCTTTTTTTTTTCCTTTTGACATTTATTGGACTTAACCCTTCCTTCCCTAATAAATCCCACTTTCCAGTTTCAGAATAATTCAGCATCTCACATAGATATCAGCAAATGAGAAAGGAATGGAAACGCCCGCCGGGTGGCAGAGAGAGAGGGGATCCCGCTCATCTTCACACGGTCACTGGTTCTTCTCAGGGTCCGGAGAAGGTCAGTGAAGCCAGCGTGGATGCATCTGTGCCTTATGTGGCCATTTGACACCATACTGACATTGTCAAGAAAATACAAACTGAAGAAAAAGAACCCTCCAAAGTGAACACTCCGCTTAAATTGCCAGTCTGTAGTTTTTATGCCCTCTTGGCTGTAGGAAGCTGCTAGGCAGTGCGAATAAGATCTCTTGAGTCTCGACAGTAAGTTCTGGGTAGCACAGACCATGTCCAGTATCCTAACAACTGAAAAGAAAGAAAGGGCAGGACTTACTCGGTCGGATAAATATATGGATAGTATGAACTCACCAGCTGTGCTCCAGTCCGTGCGCGAAGTATGCGTTTTCATGTTTTATGCCCGGAGCCACCTGGCAACTTGACAGTCGCTGTTCCCTTGTTCCATTTGAGGAACCAGAGGCCAAGAGTGGTTAAACGTGTCGCTTCTGGGTGAGTTGGGCTGATTCCAGGTCTGATGCATCATGTTCATCCTTTTCGAAGTAGCTTAGTAGACTTTGAGAAAGCTCGCCAGTGTTTAGCACTTTAGTTTTCACTTTACTTTTTTCTTTTCTTTTTTTAAATTTTTTTGAGACAGGATCTCACTATGTAGTTGAGACTGACCTGGAACTCACTATGTAGCCCAGGGTGGTCTCGAACTCACATCGATCCTCCTGCCTCAGCCTCCCGAGTGCTGGGATTACAGGCGTGTGCCCCCGTGCCTGGCCTAGTTTTCATTTTTGAGAAGGATTAGAAAGGCTTTTTGTCCTCCTTGGCTTTTGGGTCATGAATGAATGGTTTTATACACATATCCTGACAATATTTCATAGGATAGCAAGTAGGGAATTCTAGGATCCCAGGGTATTGAGCTGACTGAAGCAAAAAGGGCATTCACCGCGCAGAGCGAGTATTTGCTGTCGAGTTCTGAAGTCCATTCTAGCCATCTGGTGGTAGAACCTCACCACAAGGGCTTCCTCTGTGGTACTCATGGCAGTGTCTTTACTTGTGTTGTGCTGCTCTCCCATTTAGGAGAGGAGACACACCACGAACACAGCTCTCGGCCCCCGCAGGTGTCCGGAGTGCTAACCCAGGCCTTCGGGTTCAGGTTCTCCAAAGGGATCCGCCAGCTGCCCATCCCCAGAGCACCTGGGCAGGAGGACTTCTGGGGAATGGGCCGGAGCATGACCTGTCCTCTCCTGGCTGAGCGGATGGCGGAGAGGCCACCACTGAGGAGCAGTAGTGTTGATACCCAGGGGACCACGCGATGACTCCACGAGTCTCCTTCCTCTAACCTGTTTTGTGTGCCTTGCATGCGCTCGAGGCTTAATATAGCTAATGTGGTTTAAGTAAATCTTCAAAACAGCCCTGGACAAGTGTGTAGTTTGCTATTGCAGGCTAATGGGTAAAGGTATAAGGGAAGACCATGTGGGAAAAAATGAACTAAATACTCACCATCTGTGTAGACATTTCCTACTAATTGGGTGCAGATAGTTTTTAAAATTATTTGTTTAAATTTAGTTGGTTTGTTTTACGTAGATAAGGGAATTGGAAGCTCAGAGAGGTGAAACGACTGGTTTAGCTTGGTACATGAGCCCCTGTTCTGTCTGCTGCTAAGTTCTTTCTGTGCTTTAAAGGAAGTAGGAAGCAGCCAGAATTACCCTCATTCTTGAATACAAGGATTTAGCTACATAACTTTATGTTGGCTCTTTGGAAAGCAGAGTTGAGATTTTAACGAGGTAAGAAGCAGTTGGGAGGAAAGAATATTTTCTCATTGGCATGAGTGTTCTACAGTATTTACCAAGAAGTAAAAATAGGTTGACACTTCTGCTGTGATCCACCAGAGTGCAGAAGAGAGTTCATTGCTTCTGACCTAAAACTATTCTAACAAAATTGGGACAGTCCAAAGCGAAGTTCGGTGAGACTTTTGTAGACAAGCTACCTATGGGATGTTACAATTCATGTTTCTCTGGCTGTATAGATGGGGCCAACTGGTGTGTTCATGTGTTTATGGTTTTTTCCTGTCTAGGACAAAGGACAAAAATAATTTTGAGTTATTTATACCTCAAAGGAGACAACAGTATAACACCCAGATAGCAAAAAGTAACACTATAATTATTTCAGATCTTTACTAACCCTAACACAACATTTCACTATTTTCCAATTATATTTATGGCTAGGAGGAAATAATTTTTAAATAATGAGGTATAAATTAATATATCCCTTTTTTAATGTACCAGTCTGTGTGTCCATGAAATAATGACAATTATTTTCACAGCCTTCTTGAAACTGAGAAATCAACCGCACCCTTTTATAGCTACAGCTAGGAGCTGGGGCGGTGGTATTTCTTACAGTGCAGAGGTGAGGTGACTATCTCAAAATGGATCTTTGTCCTGATGTTTTCAATAACTTTCCATCCTGCTTGCTAAGTTCGGCCTTTCCGTGCTTAATTTGTAGCGAAGGCAGTTTGTGCTTGGGTGGTGTGTCCCGTCTTAGGTTGGATTCTCTAGGAAATGAGACGGAGTTGGGATATTTACAAAGGAGAGGTCCTGGTATCTGCTCCTATAGAAAGGAGAGAAGGAGGCAGGATTAAGTAGAAGTTGAGTTTCACTGTAAGTCCGGCATCAGCCTCTCCTGACCCCGTTAAGGGCTCTGGGCTTGAGTGGCGCTTCCCGGGACCCTGAGCTAGGACGCTGCCACCCGTCACCTAGATGGGCCTCCCCGCCTCCCACCCGCTCCTCTCAGCTGACACAGTCCTTGGGGTTGTGGTCCCTGAAGTTGGAATGAGTCTTCTGTTGATAGGGAATCAAAACAGCACCCCCGTAACACAGTTAGTGCTGTAGCCCAAGCCAACCCAGTTCTGAGGATTCTCTTTCTCTTGAATTGTTAACCCTGTCACACCGAACGACTCATCGTTGGCTTTAAAAAGAAAGAGATAACGTGCCATATTCCTGTCTGTATGAAAGGAAACATTACTAAATAAAGTGGCTTTTCAGTGGAGGATTTTTTTTTTTTTTTGGTACCGGAGATTGATCTCAGGTCCTTGTACTTGCGAGGCAGGTAGCAGCACCACTGAGCTAAATCCCTGGCCCTGGAAAAGAGGATTTTAAAGAATGAAAAAGAACACATTTTTATTAAATTTTGAAATACAGTTGCATATTCCTTCAGGCTGTTAGGTGTACCATAGACTGGAGGTTTATAAACAACAGGAATTGGTTGTGTTGGAAGCTGGGAAGTCCAAGATCAAAACACCAACAGATTTGGTATTTGGTGAGGGGCTGTTCCTGGTTCTTCAGCCACTTGCAGTCCTCTCACTGTGTCCTCACAAGGCAGAAGGGGTGAGGAAACTCCCTGAGGTTTCTTTTTAAAGGACAATAAGGTCACTCCAGAGGGCTCCGCCCTAATGACGCAATTCCCTACTCAACGCCCAACATCCTAGTACCATAGTATTGGGAGTTAGGGTTTCTACATACAAATTTTGGAAGGACAGAGACATTGAGCCTTTAACAGTGACGGTGGCTTAACATGCGTACATGGTTATTTTAACCCGTTTTCTGTTGCTCATAACAGTGCCACAGACTAAGTAATAAAAGAAGAGGTTTATTTTGTTGCACAGTTCTGGAGGTCTAAGATGGAGGGCTGCATCGGATGGTGGCCTTCTTGCCGGGAGGAGCGCAGCATCACATGGTGATGGACAGGAGTCACACACGTGGATCTCCTGTGGTCACTTTCTCTCTTCTTAAAAAGCCATCTGTCTTCAATGATGAAGGTTCCACCCTGAAGACCTAATGTAATCCTCATCTTTCAAAAGCCCTACCTCTAAGCACCATAGACTGTTTTCCATCCTCTTCATACCCCGCAAAAAAGATTAGACTCCAATATGAGTTTTGGAGCAACCAACTACATTCAAGCTATAACAATGGTTGATTTATTTACTTTGAGATTTGTCATATGCACAACACATTCTGTTGATTCAACATAATTTCAGTGGATGATGGAACATTAGTGTGAGGTAGTTCTTCACAATCTTTGGGGCAAAAGCTGTTAATCACAAACAGTAGGGCCAGTAGTTTGTAAGCTAAAGAAGCTTAAGTACTTGCACAATTTCTAGGAGTCAGGGAATGTACCTTTGTATGTTCTGTTGCAGACAGTCATTTACGCCTACCCTTTAGTTAGGTTAATTCCATCCATGAATTCCCTTATTTAGTCCCAGCTTCACCCGTGTGCCTACCGCATGCAGGCCCTGTATGTATTTAATACCCATTTGAGCCATGCTTCTCACCTTCAAAGGACTCAGTCTCGCCAGAGTCACATTTGTTAAGATCACCACCATGTTCATCAGAGGTGTATGAAATTGGGAAGGACGATGTTAAACTCACGGTGTGGGACATGAGTTTCTAAAATTTCCTTTTCCAATGAGAGTCTTAATTATCTCATTGACAATACATATTATCCGTTGCTTCCTTGATGTCCAGCCCATTTGGTTCATTTTAAAACAGAATGAATGCCAGATACCCAATCCTGAATAGCCATAGGTTTTGAGTCATTCTTTAAAGTAGCAATGAGACCCATTAACATAGCAGCAAGGTCAGGCCACAGTTTGGATACCCGAGTGCTTTTTCTGAAGGTCATGTTCCATATTTCACTATGAAAGCCCTGTGTTAGAAATACTTCCCATGGCATACTAATGACAGTGCTATAAAGGTAGCTTATAGATTGAGGTTTTATACAAGGAATTACTTTTTTTCTCCATCAGGGATTTTCTTAAGTGAATCCAGATTTTTTTTTTTTAATTGCTAGTGGCTGTCCAAAGTGAAGAATCCTCTACTTGTTACCACTGCCTTACTCAGGAATTTTATCCTCCAGTGTTTTTTACCATCAGAGCGAGTGTTAACACAGCAGAAACATCAAAGAATGTGTTAGTATTGGTTGATTTTTTTTTTGTTGTGGTTGTTTTTGTTTTGTTTTTTGGTAACAGGGATCGAACTCAGGACCTTGTGCTTGCAAGGTAGGAGGCAGAACCACCGAGCTAAATCCCTGGCCCAGAATGTGTTAGTATTATGATGAAAAGTTTAGAAAGGACTTCATTGTCCCTTGAACATGTCTGCGGCCCATATTGAGAACTGCTGGGTTAGGGAAGGGTTTAAACGGGGAAGATCTTGGGGAGCCAGACTGCTTTGGTGGGAAAAGAAAGGGCCTGACCCCATACAGTGGCAGTAGAGATAGAGAGTAGAGAAAGCAGCTAGAAGCCTGGCAGAAGGTGTGTAGATAATAAGATTTGGGAAAAGAGCAAAGAAAAGTTGAATCTTATGATGTTTTCAGCCTGGGTAAAACCAAGTGGATGGCAATGCTGTTAAGTGAGGCAGTGACTGGGAGAAGAGGCACCCTGGTTTATAATCGAAAATTACATTGCTTTTCACTCTGAAAGAAAAAAAATCTGTCACAGTTCATCCACTTGTCTAGTGCTGGCAAAAAAAGAACAAAACATTGTTAGCAGTGTAGCAGCCTGGGGTTGGGTTTATTCCACGGTGAACTCTGGTTCTTGGGAGCTCAGAGTGTTCTGTGTTAATGTGTGAGACTCTTGCATCTCTGCTTCCTATAATAGTGTTTAATCTTCTTCTTTTTTTTTTTAGGAATGGTGCAAAAACTGGACCAAAAACTTCCGGTAGCTAATGAGTACCTGTTGCTCTCTGGAGGAGTCCGGGAAGGTGTGGTGGATCTGGACTTAGACGAGCTGAATGTCTACGCCCGGGGCACGGACTATGACATGGACTTCACCCTTCTGGTGCCCGCCCTGAAGCTGCACGACCGTAATCAGCCTGTGACACTCGATATGCGCCACTCGGCCTTGTGCCACTCCTGGCTGAGCCTGCGGCTCTTTGACGAGGGGACAATCAGCAAGTGGAAAGACTGCTGCACCATCGTGGATCACATCAATGGTGCCACCAACTACTTCTTCTCCCCCACCAAAGTGGCCGACTGGTTCTACGACTCCATCAGCATCGTCCTCTCAGAGATCCAGAAGAAGCCCCAGCGAGGGATGCCAAAGGTGGAAAAGGTGGAAAAGAACGGGACCATCATCTCCATCATCCTGGGGGTGGGGAGCAGTCGCATGTTGTACGATATCGTCCCGGTGGTGTCTTTCAAAGGCTGGCCCGCGGTGGCCCAGAGCTGGCTTATGGAGAACCACTTTTGGGATGGGAAGATCACAGAGGAGGAGGTCATCAGTGGGTTTTACCTGGTCCCCGCTTGCTCCTATAAGGGTAAGAAGGACAATGAGTGGCGGCTGTCCTTTGCCAGGAGCGAGGTGCAGCTGAAGAAGTGCATCTCCAGCAGCCTCATGCAGGCCTACCAGGCCTGCAAAGCCATCATCATCAAACTGCTGTCCCGGCCCAAGGCTATTAGTCCTTACCACCTGCGGAGCATGATGCTCTGGGCCTGCGACAGACTCCCCGCCAACTACTTGGCTCAAGAAGACTATGCAGCCCACTTTTTGCTGGGCCTCATGGATGACCTGCAGCACTGCCTGGTCAACAAGATGTGCCCCAATTACTTCATCCCTCAGTGCAACATGCTGGAGCACCTGTCGGAGGAGACGGTCATGCTGCACGCCCGGAAGCTGTCCTCTGTGCGCTCAGACCCTGCGGAACACTTGCGCACCGCCATCGAGCACGTCAAGGCTGCCAACCGACTGACCCTGGAGCTGCAGCGGCGGGGGAGCACCTCCAGCATCCCCTCCCCACAGTCCGATGGCGGGGACCCCAACCAGCCCGATGACCGCTTGGCCAAAAAACTGCAGCAGCTGGTGACTGAGAACCCGGGGAAGTCCATCTCTGTCTTCATCAACCCCGATGATGTCACCAGGCCCCATTTCAGAATCGATGATAAATTTTTCTGAGTGTCCTGCTGATTTGATCTTGCCCCTTCCCGGTTCTAAAACTCTTATCCTGCATAGTGTGGTTGGTGATTCCGTCTTTCCGTTTTTTACATATCCAGTTTTGATTGGATTCATTAAGAACACAGTTTGAGTTTTCTGGTTCTAAAGGATAGTGCAGGCTCTGAAACAGTATATTACTATTTCATATTCTGCCTCTGCGTTATGTTTTTCAGTTCTCGTAGTGTAGTTTCATTTGTTGTGTTTTTCTGTTGTTTGTTTAAAAAGGAGAACTTGAGCCATAGATGGAAATGCCCATGAATCCTCTTGCTTTTTTTTTTGTTTGTTTGTTTTTGGTTGCATATTCTGTGCAAATTTGTTAATGGATCTTAGGAAACAAATCTCTTTCTGATACTTAAGGTTCTATTATATTTTTGTTTTGTTTCTGCCTTTATTTTTCTAATGACTTTTCATAACTTTGGAAATTTGTGAATCCTAAGTACCTGGGAACTCCCTGGCTTGTTGGTTGGATCTCTTTCTTTACTGACCAGGATCCAGAATAGCTTCCCTGCTTTTCCACCAAACAGTGTAAACTTTGAAAGTAATGTTACAAATTGTGTTTTGGAGCAGCTTTATTGAATGTAATTGTGCTCGAATAAGCATATATTGGAGGGTTTGGAGGGTGTGTTTGGTAGCTTCCCCAACAGAGTTAAGGTTTCCAAATGCTAGTTTTAGAGTATATAATTATTTGAAGCCTTATTTAAATCTTATTAAAGAACATACCATTATAATTGTTATTTGCACTAATGAAATCTTTGCCATTGTTGGAATTGTGATGTGTATTTCAGTATAAATTAACATCCACTCTTGAAATGCTCTCATGTTTTCAGTTAGCCCATTTCTCTCAGTCAGTAGAATAATTCTTTTGCATTTGTTTAGTTCTCCTTTAATTGTGGGGTCCTGTTTTGCCCTCTTTGATATTCCTGGTTTCTGTCTCACTGAGAGAAGTTTTTAAAATTCTCTGTCTGTCCATTGACTCTGTCTAAAGCTGAGAAAGATGTATACTGGATAAAGTAGGTGTCTTTGTATTTATTTCTTTGGGGGTTCTAGAGATAAGCTTTTTAATAAAGGCTCTTTACTTCTCCTGAGCTTTTGTGGAAAACTGACAGGAAAAGATTATTATCCCCAAATAGAAGGTACCATGACTGCTCAAAAGCAGGGCATACTGCAGAGCAGGGACCAGGAAATATCTGTGGGTGGCAGTATTGGAATAAAGCTGTCCTGTCTTCAGGAATGAAATTATTCACCAGGTTTAGGTACTGCAAGGCTTTGGCTCGCTGTTTTGGTATGAACTCGAGGCAAACTGTGGTGATCGAGGGGTCAAAGGGCCAGCCAATCTCCCAAAGGACAACCCATGATATCTGCTAATGGAAAAGTCAGCCAACATACTGGTTTTATTCTTGAATATCCAAGCTCACAGTTGTGGGATTATGGCCATTGGAAGTCAGGCATTTGTGGTCTTGGATTTTTGCATGGGAATTAATGTAATGCTTATAAAATGAAAATGAAACCATTCAACAATCTTAAGTCAGACGCAAAGATAAATAATAAAAAAGAAACATACAGGCCTTGAAATTTTGCTGTTGTTTTTGTTATTCGTTTATAATCTTGAAATTATTATTATTTTACTGGTAATAGTGATTTCCAGTAAATACAGCCATGGTCTTTTTTTTTTTTTTTTTTTTTTTTTTTTTTTTTT